GACGCTGTGCGTTGCGGTGGGTCTTCTGTTGGCGGCCTTGGTTCTTTGTTGCCGTGTCTGACTTTTTTGCTACAATGTCGATGGTCCTAACTGACTTTCGGCCTTCTATCTTTGGTGTTGGATGTCTAAGGCTTCGGGTTTAGGGCTTTGGTTAAGGTTTAGAGTTTGGGATTAGAGTCAGGGGCTAGATTTAGGGGTTAGGGTAAGGGATTATGGTTGGTGCTCTGGTTAGGGAATAGGGCGACTATTTCTCAACCACTCAGTGTGCAACCGCACATTCCCAATAGCTTTTTTATGCATAAAGTTATTTGGCCTCATCGCCTGTGCGTTTCCGTTCCCACATGAAAAAGCCACTGTTACATTCGGTACGGTATTTTAGGTAGCTGGGGCTTGCTTGTCTTAGGTGTGGCTGCATTACCGCAAAAGACTGATACTTAGTCCGAAGAATTTGCCCAAAATACTTGATTAGAACTCTTTTCAAAAAATTCTCGGAAATGGATATTCTGGTCTCCCTTGCCTTTGTCGGTGCAATATCATTTACTTCTACATATCGCTGTGCAATTACATCGAGGGTACTAGCATGAGACCCAAGACACATTGGAATAAGCACATCCCATAGCCTGATCGGTGAGCGCACATCTCGTATGATGTATGTATATATATCAAACAGGAATGGGCGCACACCGATATATTGGCTTCACAAAGCAAACAAGCTCCGTATGTGTGGCAAAGGTCACGAATAGGCAACCAATTACCAGGCCGAAGTCGGCCAAGTCATAATAGCAGCGAGGAGGTAGGACAGAGAATGCGGGTAGATTGATACAGCACTGTTTCGGGCTTATTCTGCCTTCATTCAGCCAACCATAACCCTGACCACCAGCAGCTGAGACCAGAAACACAAACATGCGCACAGACGCACCTGGCGCAGGCCGACTTCGGCCTGGTAATTGGTTGCCTGTTCGTGACCTTTGCCACACATACGGAGCTTGTTTGCTTTGTGAAGCCAATAGATCGGTGTGCGCCCATTCCTGATTGATAAATACCCGATCTGCAGCGACAGAGAATGACAGGTGGCGAGGCACTGATGAACTTCGGTTCGATGAAGTGCTTATGACCCATCTGGTAGGCCTCAGTGGTGGACCGACTGCGCCAGGTGCGTCTGTGCGCATGTTTGTGTTTCTGGTCGCAGCTGCTGGTGGTCAGGGTTATGATTGGCTGAATGAAGGCAGAATAAGCCCGAAACAGTGCTGTATCAATCTACCCGCATTCTCTGTCGTCCCTCTCGATGTATATATATATATATATATATATATATATATATATATATATATATAGTCACTGTAGTCGCCGGGACAGAGCGGGAGGGAGGGTGTCTGCTGTCAATCTGCCTGCCTCTCGTCGGGGGGCGGCATTTGATTGTTGGTGGCCATCGCCCGCATTCGCGTTGACCTTCATTGTCGTTCTGGGTTGTTAGTCTTGATTGCATCCCTCTGACCGCGTTTCTCCCCGTCTGCCGGATTAGTAGTTGAGGCAGCAGTATTGATGACTGCGCCTTCGTCGGGCCCGATTTGCGGTGTGGCTACGTGTAGGTCCGTCGTAGGCTCTCCCGTGTTTGGATTCACGTCAGATAGCCTCTACGTCCGAGGCAGCGATAATGTCGTTGCTGATGCATTATCCCGTCCGGACATCAACACTCTTACCTCCGATTTTGACGTCACGAGGCCTGCATCAATACCACAGACGCCGATCCGGTCAACCTCGTGGCAACAGTGGAATCGATTCTCAAACAAACGGAGGAATCCGACGAAACAAAACACCTCGTTCGGCAACAGGTAACCGCCTTGGTGATGGCGCACAAACCACGGGCCGACACGAGCATTGCGGTACTGCCAGCAGACAAAGCGCGTTCTACAGTTGTCGATAACCATTGGGAGATGGCACCTAAAAAATCCTCTCAACCAAGAAATATTACCTACTCTATCTATTTGATTAGGTTATAGCCCTACATATATGTTGTGTCATCCGGGTTTGCCAATCACCAGCAACGACTCTTGAGGTTACCAGCGACAGCACTAATCCGTATGTAGCATATTTGCTTAACGGTAGCTGTAGACCATCCCTGCTATTACCTACATTGAGATAGGTTTCCATAGCCGAATTACGACCGTGGCAGTCGGTCTGACCTTCAGTCCACATGCTGACTGACTTCGATTATCAAATCCTACACTTACACAGCCGCTAAGAATGGACACAGACCGGGCGTTGGCATTGACAATACGGGAGCACTCAAGCGTTCATTCGCAGGAAAGACCAAACCACAAAACCAAGACCTACACAATAGCTATAGAGAGTTGCGAAACCATCGTCTTAGACCCTACCTTCCTTTTGCAACGAATGGCAGTTTACTTTAGGACAGTTGGGATAAGATCGCGGTGGACCAAGTGTAGAGCACGCAATATGCTTCCATTGCTGAAGTGCGTGCACAGCAGCCGATATGTTTCATCGTACATACTGGGATTCCTTTGGCGCAGTCAGAGAGCGAACATTGCAGACCAAACGACTGCTTAAAATCCATGCTGGAGGCTATTACGGCCTACGAGTGCCACCATTAGAACTTCTTCGGCTTATTCAGCCATAACATACTACGGATTAGTCGCAAAAGGCTCACTGTGCATACCTTACGATTGTAATGGAACAATCGCCATAGACCGACCACACTTTTGATAACATTGTCATAAGCATCCACATTTGAGGCATCGGTCTAGACAGCTTGATGGCACGCGTTCCTGAACTTCGCAGACTTCAATGAAAATTGCGGTCAGCATTCAACGGAGTCTGGTCATATTCCCCGCTTTCAACAGTGGCCTCAATTGTTGCCGGCATACTTGCACGCACTACTTGGACTTTCCACGCGCAGAAGCCCTGTCAGCATGACTTTCGTCTTCACTTTCACCGCCCTGAGAACGCGGCGCTGCAAATATGTCTATATAAACTCATTGTATTGCACCCCCACACGGAAATCTTTAGTAAAAGGCGAAAGACTTATCCTAGGCTTTGACAGGTTTCAGCCAGGTAGGTGGTCCACCTACTTAGCCAATACGTCCTCATCCCCTTCGCGCTCGTACCCGTACCCAAGTCGGTTGAACAGGCATAGGATCGGTATCAGTATCAAAGTTTATCTAAATTCATTTTTCATATTAAAAAGGAAGGACTTCAGCTATATGCGACAAAAAGAGTTCCCAGGCATTTTTCAGACATAGCGTTAATGCCAAACCATAGACGGTATTGCCCTATGATAGTTCGCGGTTTCCGTTTGTTGCTTGCGTCTACCGATCTACAAAACAAAAATTAGATTTAATTTTCTTAAAAATATCCTTACTGCATATTCCTTGCTATGGGAACATACTAAGCATGTATTAAATTTAGGACATACTATTCCATCGTTGGTTATTTATGCAAAACACATTAGCATTTGCCTGCCATTTACTTATTCATTTACTGTGTTATTTCGTTTCTCTCGAAAAGTGCTTCACAGGTACTCAAACGCATAGCGTTAGACGTCATGGTACACACGTTCACTAACTATCACTAACGACAGCCAACAGACCAATTCTACTTGTTTTCCATTCGTTACGGTTCCTTGGATGTCTGATCACAGGCGCTAAATTGGTCCGCTGGTTGCCTAAAATGGTACATGTATATAGCACTGCTATTTGTTTACTTTTCATTTACCGCGCCTACTTCCGTTGCCATATAGTGATGAAGTAAAACTTTATCATTTAAAGGGGAATTTCATAAAAAAATATTTCTATTATTCACATTTGTCGATGCATCCCAAAGGCCTCATCCGTAAATCCCCTATTACCACCTATCCCGTAAGACAGGCAGCTTTGGTTTAGAGGATTTTTAGGTGCCATCTCCCAATGGTAACCCAGTTGTCTTGGACAAGACCGACTACATTCAGAAGGCTAACAACCTGCTGGATGATCGACAGGCCTACCTCCGATGTGATGATGAGCCGATGAGGAAGCTGCTGACGCAGTTGGACAAAACGTTCGCTGAAATGCAAACGAACAAAGTAATAAGCAAGTCGGTACGACTGGCCGTTAAACCAACAGATGCAGCCGCACCAAGGTTCTACGTACTACTCAAAGTTCACAAAGTCGATGTCCCCCTCCGACCAATCGCGTCACTTCGCGGCGCACAAACATTCAATCTGGCTAAATGGCTGTTCCGACACATGAGGCCTCTCATCTCAGGCGCAACCACAACGGTCTGTTCAGCTTCTCAGTTTCTGGAGCGGCTCAGGGGAACACGACTCACTGCAGACGAGGTCATGGTGTCATTTGACGTCCCCTATCTCTTCACTTCAATCCCGCATGACCTGGCCATCGAAACGGTCAGCGAATTGCTCGAGAGGCAGTATGACGAGACGGACAAGTCAGTGAAGCGGAGACATCTAGTCCAACTCTTAAAATTCTGCCTGAAGACGTACTTCACCTTCGAGGGGACCATGTACGAACAAATTAAGGGGACGCCGATGGGATCGCCTCTCTCCGGCTCCATCGCTGAGGCAGTTCTGCAAAAACTAGAGAGCCTGGTTTTCACAACCCACAGGCCAAAGTTTTGGACTTGGTACGTCGACGACACCTTCGTCATCATCAAGCGAAAAATGATCGAGGAGTTTAACGGTGTCCTGAATTACGTCTTGCCGGACATCCAATTCACGATGGAGGCGGAAAACAACAACCAGCTACCGTCTCTGGATGTTCTTGTCCATCGAAAACCCAACGGGCACATAAAAACGACGGTGTACAGGAAGGCTACCAACACACGCCAAATCCTAAGCTATCACAGTAAACACCCGTTATGTCACAAACGCAGCTGTGTGCGAACTCTCTACAGTAGAGCAGAAGCACACTGCAGCGGACCGGATGACAGAAGGACAGAACTCCGCTATCTTCAGCGTCTTTTCATGGCCAACGGATACCCCCGTAACTTCATCGAGTGCAGCAGGCAGTGTAAACCAGGCCAAAATCGAGTGACAGAACAGCCAAAAGTCTGGCGTGCACTGCCATACATCGACGGCGTCTCTGAGGCAGTTTCCCGCCTCTTAAGGCCCTTGGGGATCGGAATCGCTAATCGACTAGACTCAAAAGATTCGACATTTGGTTATGAGACCAAAGGCCCGCCTGCCACGCGGCGAGACGACAAATGTCATCTACCAGGTCCAGTGTAACTCTTGTGAATCTAACAACTTCGGAAAGACAGGCAAGCGGTTAGAAACCCGCGTTAACGAACACATGCTGACAGTGAGGAGAATGGACCCATTGTCTCTGGTGGCAGAAAACTGCGCGGACTCTGGACACACTTTCGCCTTCCAGAACGCCAAAATTCTGGGTCGAGGCAATGACCGCGCAGGCAGGGAATCGAGCGAGGCCTGGCACACGAAGACAACCTCAATAAACCGTTGTGTCGCCCATCCGACAGCCTACCAAGCCCTCCGGACGCAGCTCAACGAACAAAAGAGCAAGCGCGAAGTCATGCCGGACGTGAATCCAAACAGGGGAGAGCCTAAGACGGACCTACACGTAGCCACACCGCAGATCAGGCCCGACGAAGGCGCAGTCATCAATACTGCTGCCTCAACTACTACTCCGGCAGACGGGGAGAAACGCGGTCAGAGGGATGCAATCAAGACTAACAACCCAGAACGACAATTAAGGTCAACGCGAATGCGGGCGATGACCACCAACGTTCAAATGCCGCCCCCCGACGAGAGGCAGGCAGATTGACAGCAGTCACCCTACCTCCCGCTCTGTCCCTGCAACTACAGTGACAATAAATAAATATATATATATATATATATATATATATATATAGTGTTAGGGGGCGCTTACCGATCGTTGATACGGAAATCATTCGTTCCGTTGTGCCTTAAGGGCTCTCTCTCGATCCCAATCAGCAGCCGCACAGCGGCGCATGATATATAGGCAGAATGATATTACCGACAAAGACAAGGGAGACTGGAATGACCATTTCTGGCTTATTAGCCGTCGTCAGCCAGCCATACCCAAGCCCGAAGTGTGGAACACCCGAGCCTCGAACTCGCGACCTGTTGGTTTAGAAGTCAACGCCTCTACTAACCGGGCCCCGAGCCCGTTGCCCTGTCGGTTTTCGATCGGGAATATACAGTTTTAGGGGGCGCTCACCGATCGTTGATACGGAACTCACTCGTTCCGTTGTGCATTAAGGGCTCTTTCTCGAGCCCAAACAGCAGCCGCACAGCGGCGCATAATATATAGGCAGAATGATATTACCGACAAAGACAAGCGGCGTTGAATTCTAAACCAACAGGTCGCGAGTTCGAGGATCGGGTGTTCCACACTTCGGGCTTGGGTATGGCTGGCTGACGACGGTTAATAAGCCAGAAATGGCCATTCCAGTCTCCCTTGTCTTTGTCGGTAATATCATTCTGCCTATATATATATATATGAGAAGAAGAGGCGATCTCGGGAACCATAGGTATAGATATATATATGAGATGATACCGACAAAGACAAGGGAGACCGGAATGGCCATTTCTGGCTTATTAGCCGTCATCAGCCAGTCAAACATATATATATATATAATATATAATATATATATATATATATATATATAAAGTCATGTCCCGGAGATTTAACTCCAAGTTCTGCATTGATTAATTTCTGAAATTATTCACCTGATTATTCTCTGGAGTTCATATACCAGAAACCGCTAGAGAACGCTGGGATTCCCACTGAAGAGCCGAACCCCTCGCAGCTGTGTCACGCAGCGGCAGAATATCGGCGAAACACGTGTCTGGGCTTTTAGCAAGTATCTATGTCGGGAGTACGGTATAATACCTTTACCATATGGAATTCATACTACTCGTAGTACTACTTGTTTGTAGAATGGGCATTACGTGGTTATTCCACAGTAGTTGATTGTCTTCGACTCAAATGTTCATTAAAATTTCGGTTCTGACCCTAAAAAGTCATGTCCCGGAGATTTAACTCCAAGTTCTGCATTGATTAATTTCTGAAATTATTCACCTGATTATTCTCTGGAGTTCATATACC